GTAACACGTGGCCCAACCATCTCAGTTGATGAAGATTCACAACCTCATCGACTGATTTACCATTATTCCTTAATACCCTGTGTCTAACCTCAATATTACTTACTCGGTGAACCCAGCAGATGCCAGCAATATTTCAAAGGCATCTGTGGTCAAATACTAGTAAGTTATGAATATCTTCTACTCTTAATGGCCATGTTTCGCTGCCGTAAATGAAAAAAGAACGAACTGCCGTGCAGTATACTCGTCGTTTTATTGATAGACGGATATCTCGCCTTCGCCATAGGTGACGTAAGTTGGCAAAAGCCAAACGAGCTTTTCGAATCCGTGCTGAGATTTCGTCAGACGCCAACACATTTTGGCTGGTCAGACTTCCAAGATAAGTGAAGTGAAGATAAGTGAACACTTTATAATTTACTTACCGATAATAAGCTGTTTCATCTGGACTATTATTAAAAACTTGTAGAAATTGTGAACGTCTCATATGAAACATAAATTGAGGATAGAATGAGAATTCACCAGGTAATCGAAATGAAGTTGGATCATCTTTACGATAATCTCCGAATTTATGACATAATTTAATTAGTTGCCTATCCAACCATCTGCGATTTAAGAAAAAAGAATAGAAAAAATATGGATAATTTATAACTACGAATCGATGGTATATATTTGTAGACTCTACACATGTTCTTTTTAAATCTTGAATGGCTATGATTTACAGTAGTAAAGTGACGAATCGAACTATTTTGCAGTATACTTGTTTTTAAAAAGCTGCCCCGAATGTCCTGGTACGGTCGAGAATGAGGAGAATCAGCTCTCCTTCTCGAAATGTTCTCACATGGTTACATGCATATAACCACTACCCCAGAAGTCCTACTCACTGCTTTCTCGTGGCATTACTGTTGTTTACGAAAGTGACGACGAAAAGCGAATGTCGAAGCTTTATCCGGGTTGGTGGGTACAGAGCGTCCGCCTAGCGGAGTTGGAAAACCCTGATTCCAAACCAATGATGCACATGGGCTGGTCCTAGTAGCCCAAGGAAACACATGGCGTATGAACCAATTATTGGTCACCGGCTACCATGCGACTGCATCTCCTAACGTTGCTCCACTGCCCTATGGATTAGACCTTTATGTCAAAAGCTCTGGACGTGGCCCCCTAAGGGAACCACCTACTTCGGTTTGGGGTCCCGGGCAGTGTTCCAGCCCTCACATAGACCGAATGATTTATGTGGTGCATATCTATTTGGTGTCTCCTTGTACCAATGTTTATGTGTTTAAATAAATAATAAACAAAATTTTGAAAAGTTATCGAATATATATTCTATGTAAAAGTTGTTATGATACATCAACATACTAAGTAAGTCTTTATCTCTCTGATAAATAACATTTCGGCAAATGTTAACTTATTACAATTTGTATAATTTTGCAAGCGTTTCATACTCATTCTATGTTTGAAGAGATTACGAGACCACCTGAAAATCGGTGAATGGAACGAAAGGCCAGCGATACAACGACAAGACAGCTAAATATTCCAATGAGGCCTAGGCCCGCTAACTAGGGGAGAGGAAAGTCCAGGTTCATATGATGAAATTATGTTCCACAAGCAGCCAAAAGCACAACGACCACAACAAGCAAACAACTCAAACGTATAGATACAGCCTTAAAATGTCCTTGGGAAACGTCCCAAAATAGCACACTAAAAGAGACAACCAACCAATAACATTTAGAGTCCTTCCACCAAGTGGGAAATACCATTCGAAAGTAAAACGAAAGGGTGCCTTCGGCGCAAAGACGAGAAACTCAAATTTCCAAAATAAGACGTTAACCAAGTAAGTTGTGAGGGTCTAGTGTCCTCAAAAACTCACTACATTAATTCTTGAGTAAAATTTCATAATTTTAAATACTCAAGATGTTTGGGAGTTTCTACACTTCGTGTTTGCTTCTTCATCTGAGTCCTTGAATTTCCTTGTACGATGGACACAGTAAGGCGAATTTACGACTTTTTAGTGGAATTCTTACATACGTTTAGAGCTTAAACAGGTCACATACACAGTGGCTCCAGAATAATCAAGTGAAAGAAAAAGTAAAAAAAAAAAAACAATTTGGGATGATGGTCCAGCTTCATTTTTTGTAGGTTAGAGACTTGGATTTTCAGCTATAAAATAATGAGAGAATAAAATAACTTTATCGTTACGAACCTGTTAATTAATAATTACTTACCGTAATACATCAACGCTGTCTGTTGTTTCAGCTTTGAACATTGCCATTCGTGCAATCAGTACAGTAGCCGCTTCTTGATCAAATCCACATATCATATGTGGCAATTGTGTAGTTGAATCAATCCAATTACGACATACTGTTGTGACACGTAATTTACGCTGACCATTAGCACGTTGATATTGTGTAACAAATTGTACATAACCTCTACCATTACTACCTGGAGGTATTTGTACTCCACCACCACTAGTTGGAGTAGCTACTTCGAAATAAATGGCTAATGTAGTTGATGGAGTGAAACCGTTTAACCGCCAGACAGAAGTACGACCAATTCCAACTTCCTGTTCACCAGTATTAGGCATTTTAACGTTAGCTGAAAAACATGGTCCGATACAACCGGATACTTTCAGTTCTTTTGATGTCTAAATATGCAGAAATATGAGTTTGAAAGAATAAGAAAGATGACATAACAAATTTGCCAATAATAGTAGATGAACTTTTGATTTTTACTAAGAAGTAAAACATTGACAGCTATTTATTTCGTGGAGAAAATCTAAAAAGGTAAGTGATTAGAGTATCCAACTTCCGAGCTTGTATAGTACACCAAAGTGGTTCACAAAACCATAATACTTTAGAAAGATGGATAATACATGCATTAACTAGTTTCCAGTCCACGATTTAAATGATCAAAGCTCCTTCAAATATTAATGGTTAGTCCGTTCATAGTTTTGTGTCATATATTAACATGGAAATCATAAGAAGTTTCACTAACGAACTGCTGTGCAGTTGACCCGTCCTTTGGTTGATAGACGGATATCTCGCCTACGCCATATATGACGGAAGTTGGTAAAAGCTAGTCGAGCCCTCTGTATCCGTGCTGAGATTTCGTCACACACCACACCACAAGGGTTGATGAGACTCCCAAGATAAGTGAAGTGGTCGACACGCTCAATTACTTCACTCCCTATCATTAGTTCAGGTGTCGATGCAACCCAATCCTGAAGTAACATTTTGCATTTCGAGGGGGAGAATCACATCCCCAACATGCTTGCATTGTTGCTTAGAGTGGTCAGAAGACTCTGCATTTTGTCAGCGTCTTCATCAAATAAAACTGTCATCGGTATATTCTAAGTCAACAAGCGAATCTCCAGGTAGAAGTTCGACTCCTAGAAACTTAGATGAGGAAAGTGTTATCTCTAAAAGCACGTCAACGACAAAGTTAACAATAAAGAGAGAGTGGACAGCCCTGACAAACACCACTTGAGGTAATCAATTCTGATGACAGTTCGCCATAAGCTCTCACTCGACCAGTTGTGTTCGAGTCGAGAGCCCTTATAGGTTAATGTACTTCTTTGGTACTCCTTTCAGTGACAAACGCTTTATTCATTGAGCAATAAATCAAATAGGTTGGTTAAAAATTACTCTTGAAGACAATTTTAAGAAGGATAAACTAATCATAAACATAAAAATAATAATAATGACTTGACAATATTTACTTTCACTTCCATTTGACCAGCTAATCCCATTAAAAATGAACCAGATGCATCTTTATTGAATACACGACGATAGGTTTGTTGAAATAAACTTGATGCAAAACTATCACCCATAATCATATGACCACCAGTATAATTAGTTAAATAACGTAATTCATGTAAACCAGTTTGATCTAATGAACAACTGAATATATCAACAACATGAAGATTTTGTGCAGCACGATTAGCTAATCCTTCATAGTGCTATAATGAAACAATGTGAAAGAGTTTAATTCTTTTTTTAAAAAATTGTAATCTGATGGTTAACAATAATTAACTGGTTATACATAGTGAAACGGGTTGGACATAGTCAGTCAGTCAGTCAGTTATAACGTAGGACCAGGCACACATATGCATCGGTCCAAGTTTTCGCACCCATTAGCACAACAAGATGATCACTAAATTCATAGTAGTCACTTCCATTGTAGCAATATATAAAAGGAAAAATTGCACATAAGGATATAGTATAGCAATAAAGAATTAGTTGGTAGAGAGAAAGGTATGAAGCAATTTACATCTCATAGTTTAAGGAAGGACAGATAGTGTATACACCTACGCCATTGTGATCGATTCTGAGCGGTATCACCCAAAGTCTACAACCATTGGTTATGATAGTCACACGGACCTCAACCGAGTAGTCTGCATCTACCAACATGACTCTGACTAAAAATTAGTGACTTCAAGCATATGGTTGAACATATTAATAAAATCACTCAAAAGTAACTATAGTGCCTACTAAGTTGCATTCATTGTTTATTGTCTTCAATATTTTCGATTCAGTGTTATTCACTTCTTCTGAACTCTAGTTTCATATATTTAACTGTCCACTCCAGCTGATCTATGTATGTATATAGTCGGTGACCAACAACTGGTCCGTATACCATTTGTTCAATCAGGATCCTGGAGCCACCCCATGTGTACCATTGGTTTGGAATCAGGGTTTTCCAACTTCCTAAGGTGAATCTTCCACATCCACATTCGCTTTTCGTCTTCTCACTTTCGTAAACAACAGTAATGCCGCAAGAAGGCAGTGAGTAGGAATTCCCTGGCAGTGGTTGTGTGCACGTGGTCACGTGAAAGTATATATATATATATATATATATATATATATATATATATATATATATATATATATATAGAGAGAGAGAGAGAGAGAGAGAGAGAGACCAGGTTCTAGGCTGCTTATCGCTAACTTTACGTGAACACGAAGAATTAGTTACGTAAGTTAGAATTTCATATTATCTACAACTAAATGTGCAGTTCTGAACGTATAGGACAATGTTAAATCGGAAGAAACAAGTAGTGAACAGTTATAAAATACAAAAAAGAACATACTTTCATTGCTCTTCGCATATATTTACAATTATCTTTTTCCATATCATGATGTGAACGTATAACATTTTTTAAATCATCATCAACTACCATACCAGGACCTTGAGTGCACGGACCACCAAGAAATAGCATAACTCTAGCTCCAGTATTAGGATAAGCAGCTTCTAATAAGCCAACTGCGATACTCAATGCTGTACCAACTGAACGTAAAGGACGTTTACCTTGAGGTACAGGCCAAGGATCTGGTTGTAATTCAGTGAGCAAATCAGTGATTAAACCATCACATCTTTCCATTGGTTGAATAAATCTATCCACACAAAAAAAACATCAGACAGTTCTAAGAAATGATAATTTATGCAATTATCTTGAAAATAATTAAAGCAGGAGTACAATGCGAGAAAGTATAACAACATTATAGTCAATCCACTTGTATTGCTTGTTTGAGTAGTGAAGGTATATCCAGCTGACGAGTTTCAAATAGGACGACATGAGAGTCCTGGATTCCATTACAAGCCACCATCCAACTCTGCTTACAATGTCTATAACTTTGAGACAATCCGCACAAGATACAAATGTGCCAATAAAGGATTGATCAATTGCAGTCTTAAACTAATGAGAAGATACAAAGAACCAATATAGAAATGAAATAAACTTCACCCAAATGCAAAAGCTAGTGGTTATCTGGACTTAGTAGCACGAACATTTTGTAGAAGCTATGAGAATTTCTCTATAAGCAAACAGCGGCTTGTTCTGTCGACCTTGAATATGATTAGGTGTTGTTCAAAACATATATTATTATTGCTTGTACGATTATTTTGATTGTACTCCTCTATGAACTGATTCTTGGTCTTATTACTTGCTTCTGAATTCCCTGATTGGTTGGTAGAAAACAATTATTTCCATATATTTATTGATTGCTGACTGATATGAGTGCTGGAAAGTGACAACTGCTCACATCCCTATAAAAACACTCGAGATCACTTTGTTCGTAACCTAGTTGGCAAGCTTCTAGAAACTCTCTGGTATTTTCCGTGTTGGACCTTGGCTGTCTAAAACCTAAAATTCTTGGAGTTTCGTTTTATGAGTTGGGTGGCTTAAACCCTTATTGTCCTGCTTACTTCTGTCTGAAGCTTGTGATGATGTTGCTCAGAATAGTGAGACCTTCACAATTAAGCCAACCTGTTCAGAAGATGAAAGACCAAACTTATGCACTGGTACTACAAATCTCTACTATTTCAAAATTTTCCCAGTCGAATGTGTCCGCGGTCGCATACATCTGTCTATATAAGTGAAGACATGTAGCGTTTGACAGCTGATTGATCTTCATGTAAACGAAGTTCGAATACGACGGCCGCTTTATCAAATGGATTGTTTCTCGTAGTTGATGATGTTCGGTTTGTCTTTTTCTATCGTTTCACCTTTCGGTTTGCATAAATTTAATTGCAGTGATTTTGCTAGTCTGTAAACGAAGCCTGTAATCAGGATTTGTGGCATATTGGTTCGATAATTTCATTTATAACTATTTGGGATCATGGATAATAGCCCAGTTCTAGCTACTGATGTCAACAATTAAGTGGAGTTATTAGCACCCATAATAAGTTTCAATGCGTTTTGCCAGGAGGTCGAAATACACCACACATGCACACTTTTCAAAAGACTATGTAGGTTTAATCACCAAGCAATACAGCATAGAGAACACAACCAATATCAATGTCAGAATCTTTAGTACAAACCTCAAAACAGTTCTACTGTACGGAGCTGAAACATGGAGAACCACCACAACATCATCAAAAAAGTAAAAGCATTTGTAAATAATTGTCTACGCAGGATACTCAATGTTCGTTCGCTCAATAACACCAGCAACAACCTACTGTGGGAGAGGAAAAACCAGCTTTCAGCTGAAGAGGAAATGAAGAAAAGACAATGGAAGTGGATAGGACATACATTGTAGAAATCATGAAACTGCATCACGTGGCAAGCGCTAACTCGGAATCCTGAAAGAAAACGGAAAAGAGGAAGACCAAGGAACACAATGCTTCGATGATTGGAAGCAGGTGTGAGAAGGATTGACCAGGACAGATTTGGATGGTGAATGCTGTTGAGCGGCCCAATGTCCTTTAAAATGGGTAACAGGAGTAAGTAAATAATATTCACTGAATACGTGTTGACTTGTGCACTTAATTGAAAATTTTCTTATTTAAGAAGACTGTAGAATAGTGACTTGGAAGTTACAACTCTCGATTGTTAAAGAGTAATCTAAAATCAGAAGTGTTTAGTATCTCCCACTAGTTGGATATGTAGTTGATTAGTAAAATAGATTACTTGTTATAACGAAACGAATATAGGGATAGATGGGACTTTCAGAATGACTATTCTTATTATTATTACTAATATTTTAATTGTATAACTAGTAAATAACTGTATGGCTGAATATCTGTGTTCCCCTTTATTGTAAGCTTTCAGTAAACCTATTAACTATCGCTATATGTTTTACTGTCCCATAGGTATTGCTAAATAATTTTGTACTATTTGCTTCGCATTCTGCCATTTACGGCATGATTTTGTTTAAATAATGATTTCTTATTTACTGTGTTGTGTAATCAGTTATTCCAAGTATAATATTATATGCGTTATGAGTCATGATTGAACTAAGTACAGTAGCGAACTAACCTACGTCCTATATACGTTTTATAATCAGCTACTGGGTTAGAAGGAGCTCGAGGATCAATACGCATTAACACATTGGCTGTAGTTCATTAGTTGATGTGTCAATTCGTGAAACAGGTCACCGATACTAATTACCACATAAGTGAACCAATCGATAATCGGAATTGTAATACAGAACGTGATATTGATCGGTGGTCTCAAGTCACAACAAAGTGTTATAAGACATAACAGAGTGGTGATCATCATCCTGATAAGAAATATATGAGAAATTCCCGAAACTTTTATATACTCGTGTAACTAAACATTGCAAAATTATGATTATTGACAGTTGAGTAAAGGACTGAATCATCAGGATAGTTAACACTACATATGTAAAAGAATTCTAAATGAATAGTAAGAAACTAATTGTTCAATAATAAGACAACTTTTACACTTGACAGAGTTATTTTAACCCAACTAGTAAAACACATTTACGCATAACTAGTAACAGATTCTTTCTTTTTTCTTTTTTTTATAACTTCAAATGAACAATGAACAAATATTAAACAACCTGTTATATGGTAATTGAGCCATTTGTGGTTGTTGAAATTGTTTTTCAGAACTGTAAACACCTTTAGGAGCACCTGGAGGAGAATTTGCATTGAATACAGAAGCAGGTTGATTAGCAGTTGTAACTGAACTACGACCAACACTTAACATAACCTAGATGAGAAATAGATTATGTATCCATCATTTGTACATATGTTATTAATCTGATACACTTGAAAATTAGAAGGTTAAGTCCTAAATTCATTAAAACAAATCCATCATCAAAATTAATGACATTACTCTTACTTTGCTTGGTGTCAGTTACATAGTACATATACGAAGTCTTATTAGAACTAGTTATTGGCTTCCAGGAGAAACTAGAACGCGTTTTTCATCCTATTTGGATCGTGTCAAATGGATGTACTTGAATCTGAACTCAGTAATGTTTTAATAGGTATTTAGAAAAGCTAAACTTTTAGAACTGCACTACCTGAAATACTGTTTATATTTTTAGTTTTTGACTAGTAAATACTTCAATTATGGTATTTTCCTGTTTGTAAGCTCGTACATCATGTATAAACCGTTATTGAGTGTTGTACCTTCCTTAATTTATTGTTAATTTATTACAAATTCATTACTAAATTCCCCTACTTATGGCGTAGTTATGCTGTTGTTGTAATTTCCTAACTCTCTTGACGTGTGGACAAGATTTTACTCCATATTATTACACGAGTCATGGATCATTAATGTATTGAGTATGATAGAATCTGGTCGCTGACTCAGAGTAGGGGCTAAAGAAAGGCTTGAGTATAGCGGGACGATAAGAGCTTAGCTTGCGTCAGCTTAAGGTTAACTGTGCAGGTTAGACAGATAAATGATTAAGTCTAGGGTACTAGGTTACAGAATGAATAGTAGACGTGGAATATGATCCGAACAAGAATATAGATTAGTCCATTATCCTAAGATTTCTCAATTCTTTCGTTTAGTTGAGTTGTTCGATGGCCAGAACCAAAGCATAAAAATGGGCTGATCTTGCGTGATGTTAGAGGTGTCAGGGCAGCTGTCACATCCAGGTTGTCCACACGATGGAAAGACAGTTCTTCCAAAAGGACCTGTAAACAAAACTGGGTTAGGTGTGAAAATGAAGACCTGAGAGTATGACCCCAGATCACAAGGGAAAACTACTTGAGGTCAGTAACACGTAGCACTTTTTCACAGTTTTAGATGAGGTAGCTTTGTCATCCGAAGGACATTGCCGCTAGCGACAGATCCGTGGAGGAAGATCAGGCATGCTAGTTTTGAGGAAAATACCATATCGTCATAACATTCGTACACAGTTTGGAGTACGACTTCGTCCTTGGACCACGGGTTAGCTGCTTTCAGCATTGCCCCTCTCTGGTATAGTAGGACCTAAAGGAAAGAATGTTCCAACCAATATAGCTCGATTAGATTATGACTATATGTGACCATGACGTACTACGTCAAAATACCAGCTACAGTGGAGGAATTATAAGCATAAAAGTGCTTTAAAATGAAGATGAAAGGAAAGATTGACATATTAAAAAGAGGAGAACAGTTACTTTTTTTCTGTACCTGAATTTGATTCCCTGTATAATCTTTGTTCCTTTAAATACCCATGATTTAGAAATAGGTCCTGCTTCCAATTCATGAACATGTACCATTTTCCCAAAAGTGATCAAACCAACAAAAGCATGTGGTGGTAGGAAACTCAATGATAATTGAATAGACTCCTATGAGAAGAAATTGAATTTGACAAAAGTTTTAATCAATAATTCAAGCACAAATACCTATTAAATATGAACTTACAAGTCACAAAGCTATAAATTACGTTTACTTAACGGAAAGTCAAGAATACATTTTATGATATTTCTGAATTGTATCCAGCAGTGGAATCCGTAACGCATATTAAGGTTTACTTGTTACTTATTAACTTAAAACGCCTGAGTTCCAGTGTTGATGTTCACATATTGAAACTCGAACTTAGTACCTGTCACACTTCAGGCGATAACATGTTTGACACTAGCGTACCAAGTCACGATCATCACCAATTTGTTCAATGAGTATATTATTTACTACTTTTCACAATCATTTACATTTCCGAGTTATTGATAGTCAGGAGTGTTTTATCAGTCCCCGTTGATAAATAAGCTCTTTAAAAGAATGTCTCAGCATACTACCTACATCTGAAGGTTTACTACACGTATTTATATGTGTATGCTTTTAGCTATTTGCCGGTGCAACATCAGTTCGAAAAAAAAAAGTTAGAGACGGGAAAACCAAGTTATAGCATCAATCTGCGAAGTCAGTGACTATTGGACTAACCCGTCTGTGCAGATCCAAACTATCTGGTTATGGTCTGCACGATTATCTTAACCAGTGGTTGGGAGACGATGTGTGACATGGTACGGAATCCACTACAACTGTGTATATGTTTCCACTCTTTGTTTTCTCCGAGGTCTTCAATTTGAAAATAATCTCATACTTTTCTATTCCATGAAATTATTCTCTCGTCTAGAAATATACTGTCTATGTTTAATCCTTCCTATTACCGCTGATACTGTCACTATTCCTACTACTGTGATTTGCTTAGATAATTTCACCTTGATATAACAACTTGAAAGACTGTACATGTGTATCAGATTCAACGTTGCAAGTGACTAAATGAGATATGGAAAACAGAGAAACAGTAAGTTTTTTCTAACAGCAAGTACCCCAGTGAAGTACAGTGTGAGTTGTATTGTTTTCAAAGACTAAAAAGGGTCGACAATTAATGTTTGATATTTGTTAAGTATCAACCTACTTCTGGAATATGATAAATACATATTAGAACGTTTCAATTATTTTTATTAGTTCATTCAAGTTTACAAGAGAAGGCAAAAGAGAACGTTATTCATGATGAGAAACATAACTAAACATTTCAATATACTATTTATCACATTTGAACTGTCAAGGTTACGAGTAGGAAAGAAAAAGAGAAATTCACTAGAGGTTATTGGCAACTATTTTCTATGAACATCTCCAATGTAGGACATCTTAAAATCTTTGATGAAAAACACCACTGGTGTAAATCTTAAGGTTTGAAATAAAATCTCATGATGGTCGAAAGTAACGGATAAGACATACTTTGTGAAGATAAAAGCATTGTTAATAACCTTAATCAGAAATTCAAGTCAATATTTACAATGAACTTACTTTAAGATGAGTAAATTCTGGTTCTTCAATACATGTGTCAATAACAAACATAAAATGGGTGGAACAAGTTGAACTTTCTAAAAATAAATACAAATAAATGTATACATGTCAGTATTTAGAGAAAGTAAATGACAAGGCATGAAATCAGTTACGGTTTTATGAATTGTTATAATCTTCCTTAAAATTCTGACTTGAATAACATGTTTAAATCTTTGATCTTGTTTGTTTGTTTTTCTAATTGTATCTCTCAGTGTAGCTGAAATTAAATCCTCTTCTTTATTTCTCATCTTATCGATTTTCTGTCTAGCTGTGTTGATTTTGATTTTATGGAAACTTAAATTGATAAACATTAATACTGGGCCCTACGTTGATGATAACTGATTGGTCACAGCGATACAGAGAGGAGAAATTAACAAGACAGTTACAGTGAACAACTAACAATAATTCTGGTAAAAAAAGTGTGGCTTTTCATTTGTTTTTTCTTACAGTGTAAACCGACTACTAACAAGTAAATCTTCACTATATTCATACTAAAACAAAATTCTTCAACGCACAACATCCCTTTTTATTCACTGCATGATTTCTTTCTTTTCAAAAATCCAGTGGTACTAGGTAGGGTTGCACAATTTCACGACTCTTAAATTTTTCATCGATGACATTCTGGAAGTATATTTGAATAAAGTATGAGATAGAGATGTAAATGTTATCTAGATGAAAATCTGATCTCAAGTATGGATATGATATGATAATACACAGGCTACCCCAATCACGTATAATACGCCCATTATTGTTGTCAGAATAGGGTATGTTAATATGCGTCAATTATAGCGGAGTTGTGATGCTGATCTTGTAAAAATTCGATTGAATAGTGAACAGATGGCAGCAGTTTCATGTTGTGCCTTTGAAACCTGAACTTTTCGAGTTAAGAACATTCAACGATTCTCGATGATCAAAAATCGTCATCAAGAAATTGATTAAATCCGGTAGCAATTGTTATGTAAGTGATGCACGATTAAAGCAGTAGGAATGTAATATTGAGCTTCGAAAACAATTTTTCCATCAAATTAAGACAGATAAAACAACCAGAAAATTATTCACAACGGATAAATATAAAAGCTAGATGGTACATAAAATTAAAGATAACTTTGGAACAATTCAACATGTATTCTCACATAATACACTTGGGTAAATTAAAAAATAGACTTACTGGGATGGTATATTCAAGTGTGGTAAACTGAGCCATCAATTCTGCAGGTAATTTTTGTTCAGTCATTCCTGCATATTGAGGTGGAAAACTATTTCGTGTATTGCACAAACAACATGTCCATGTACGAGTTCTAATATCAAACTAAGAATAGACGAAGATGATTAAAAAGAAAGGACAGATGACATCATTAGATCAAGTAACATAATTTAATTCTATCGGAAAAGTGTACTGTGTACATAGATTCCAAATAACAAGGTGAGATAAAGATACATAAGAATTAGGTAACTAATGCGTTAAAGCCATTGGAAATCAACATTTAGTCAGAAAGTTTTGACTTCATCTGTTTCGATTTCAGTCAATTACGGAGTACCAATAAACTTCACATAGAATGTATAGCCCATAGACGAAGAGTACACAAACCTCTGCCACGCTACTTGGGTAGATTAAAGTTAAATACCCTTCAGTGATAGCTCAGATGCATAGATTAATTTTTTTAACTGATTACCCATAAAATAACACGTGGCAACGACTTACATTTGTTAGTGAAATGAATCCAGGCGGTCCTTATTGCCTTCTCATGGCGGGGGTGTTGTTTAAGAAATTGAGAGGACGAAAAGCGATGTCCGGCGCTTTAACTGGATCCCAAACCAATGATGCACATGGACTGGCTCCAGTATCTTGCGGGAACAAATGACGTATGAACCAATCATTGGTCACCGGCTACCATGGGACTGCATCTCCTCACGACGCTCCATTGCCTTGTGGGTCAGACCTTTAGGTTCAAGGCTCGGGGTATGGCCTCCTAAGAAAACCAGCTGCTTCGGTCTGGGCACCCGGGTATTATCCCAGCCCTCACATAAATCGAATGATTTATGTGGCGCATATCTATTTGGTGCCTCCTGTACCAATGTTTGTGTTTAAATAAAATAATGATAATAAATAATTCAAGTGGTCAGTTAACCTCATGATGGAACGGAATATTTTCAAGATTCATTAGTAAGGTGTATCTCCAACTTGGATGAAAATATAACAATTTCGCAATGATTGAAACCAGCGTAGCTAAACGCTGTGCAATTTCAGTGTAATAAGATAGACCCTTGGGTGGCACTAATTTGTAAAACAACTTTGTTCAAATAATTACGTAACTTGTGGTTAGTAATATATATATATATATATATATATATATATATATATATATATATATATATATATATATATATATATATATAATCTTGCTTAAAACCACTACCGAAAAATAGCTTGGTCACTGGTAAGAATATGAAAAATGTAGGGATTCTTTATAAATCCAGAGGAATTTACCGGGCAATAAGGGTTAAGAATACCACGACATCGACTGCAGAACACTGGATCATAATTAATTGGTGGGAAATCATAACGTTCTTTGAACAGAGTATACAAACATCCAATAGGCACAACACATTGAGCAGATTCAAGTCGAGAAGCAGGCCAAGCATTCCAGGAAAAACGTATTCCATCATTTATTTCAGATTGCTGTATAAATTCAGCCATTGTCGCCATTTTGAGGGATTACCAAATGATTGGGAACAGGTTATTCAAGCTAGATATTATGAGGAAATTGGAGATACTTTTGACAGAAATAAATGATAGTTCTAAATAATAACTAACAAGAAATAATAAATGGAGTTATAAGAAGAGAGTTTACGAAAGTAGGTGACTTGTTATTCTATACGGTTGATTATTTGCCATATGAATTGAAGCAAAGCAATAATCACATTTATTTTAAGACAAATGTTTGATGTAACAAGGAAATGATAATAATAATAATAATAAATAATAATAATAATAATAATAATAATAATAATAATAAACCCAGGTGCACATGGAAGCAAAAGAATTGAGGGGATGATTAATAAAGAATCAGTCCTATCATACATAATCTGGTATATACAAAATAGGATCACGTTACTAAGACTAAGGTCGACAATCATTGCTGAAAAATGTATTTGATCACATAGTTTAAGCACCTGACTTTTAAAATATAATTAAACACTGGTTTACAAAAATTTCGAAGAGTTGTACTTTTAATCTCCTCACTACGGCTTACGACCCCAATACACTAATTAAGGACGATATGCGGCCTATAAACAGGGTTTATGTGTACTGATGGTTCATCTAAAGGGACTGGAAAACCGATGACGCACATATATTCAAGGATCTTAAGAGAAGAAGTGAGATATAAACCTATTTTTGACCACTGGCTATCATACGACGGCATCTACTAATATTACTCCACTGCAGAAGAATGGTTGAGGCTTCCGTTGCAATCGAATACAACAGTATTAATGGAAATAGAGAAAGTTAGACATCAAAGATAGTTTGAGAAAATATGAATTAGTGAAGTAGAGAGAAGTTTATGAGGTGGATTAAGAACTTATAATATAAGGCAAGAGTGAAAGTACCTGCTCAATTGCGGATGATTTTGAACAATTTAATCTCAAGTTTCTAACTATCCTTTAGACATCCACTAGGTTGTCTACACATACCTACGTGGCTAAGTCCAACAGTCGGACAGTGACGACTGACCCACCTAATGAGGTGTCCATCTGAAAGGAGATCTAGTTCCCAAGTTCTACAAGTCGCCAGGCTCAGCCTTATTACCAATATACGAACATGGTTGACGAGTGGGGAATTTTGTAAGGCATTATTTACCTTGATCAATCCTTATTGCAATTACTTTCTCAGTAATCTCTAAATAACCGACGAATTTTGGAAGCTTTCAAATCCACTTAGGATTCATACGAGGCTGAAGACTTTCTTAGTTCTGACACAGTTAATCAATGAATAATGCTTCTATGATGAACGATTAAGCTTCTTCTTGGAGGTTTGAGTGATTAGAGAATAAAATCACAAAGAACAATCTTTAAAGTCTATTAATGTTGGTAACCATATTAAATTGTTACAAACTATGCGGCTTTTAAAAATGATAACATCAGGGACATCAGATAAATTATTTATAACAGACCGACCTTGTGGATACTTTTGAGGCGCTAGAAGAATTGAAGACGAGGTTTCAAAAATTATATTTAACTGTTTTTCTCCAAGATCAAAGATATGTGCATAGTTTATTGAGCAGAACAAAAGACTTACCAAAAGTATGAAACGTGTAAAGACGTATTAAGTTCGGTTACAAATTTCGCGCTAGATGCGAAGATGTCAATTGGAACCACAGACCTAACATAAAAAACTGAAATGTTTATATATGGTGTAGAATAAGTTGTAAATTTACGAAATTACGTGCTTAGTGTCAATGATTACCAGCGTCTTCAGCTAGAAACCTGGGTATGAAACGGGCAGGAATATCACTGCAGATTACCATGGAGATTAAGAAACTTCTTAGACGTAGGAAAAAGCATAGAAATATGCTTATCTCTACAGGCCCTGGGCTTTCGTCTGGAAGACAATTGTTCAGGGATTGTGAAATTAGTCCAAAAAGATTGTTCTCGTATATAAAGCGATGGACTCACCTTTCTTGGTATCAGAAAGTCCGTTGATATTAGCGTGAATTGATGTTGCGAAAGCTGCAGCTTTATTGGAATATTTTAGTCAGATTTTTTCTTTTTCCCTTGGTATAGGACCAACAGTAGATCGTAGTGTCGGCTTGTCGTTCGATTCTCCAATTATTAAGAAAGGAGCTAACTTACAGGTACTTCAATATCTCAATCCAGATAAAAACAGCGGTCATAACGATATTCACACAAGGATTATAAAATCTCAGGTGGATAAGTTTGCTGGACCTCTGGGAATACCATTTGATTTGTCTTTTAACAAGTCTACACTGCCGAGAGACGGGAAAGACTCAACTATCAGTCCCCATTCATGAACCAGGAGGTAGGGATTTGCGTGTGACCACAAACCCGTAAGTTTCACTGGTGCAGTCATTAGTATAATGAAAAATATTCATATGGCTATTCGAGAGTATGTAGGGGCGAATAACCTGCAGGACCATTGAAATGTCACTGGGCCCAAATCAAATCCATGCAGCAGTCAAATCGCTGAATATCGAACAGTTCACCTGCCTTCGCCAACGTCAGGGCTAAACGATGTACGCAAACTAGTTGCTTTTCATGGACGAGCTCATGCATCAGTGACCTCATTCTGTTCCTTTTACCTACTCTTACTAATATATTTCTGTAATAACGTCGTTTTGTCGTACGGTCATCAAGGTAGACAAGGGAACGGGGAACGTTGAGACGGTAATCCACATAAGGTACTGACCGCGAGGTGTGACTTAAACGTTGGCTGGTTGGCCACTCCATTTTCTCCTAACTCGAATAGGTTCATAATTATTCGACAGATCATCTACGTTGGTGATCTATAAATGTTTTAGTCAGGAAGTAACATGGAAAAACCCATGATCATTTTCTTTTTTGCTTTGTAGAAATGATTTGCTAATTTTAGAAAAGTCGACTGTTTTACTCTTGGCAATATGGCATCAGCATTCGAAGGCCCATAACCAGGAGGAATTATATTACAATATGACCTAAATCCGCTGCTTGAGTGGATGGGCAAGTGGCTAATAGAAGCCAGTTCTAGCAAGTATGTAGTGATACGAATAAATAACTGGAACGATTCATGTTGTAGTGAACAAGAACACATGGGTGGACAAGCGAATTCATTTGAACGCGAAATTACAGAACATATGAGTAAAATCTGAGAACCAATCAGTAAATACTTAATTTGCAAAAATCAATCACTTGTCCCAAACTTGACTGTTCCTTTTACAAATACTAGTGTATAGTGTCAGATTTCATTGTTCCGGTTTTTCCATATCGATCGCTTCATGTTCCCTTTCTTCCCTTCTCAAACTCCCACTGAAATACATTCGATTCCTGACTATCGCTATACGCTACTCATGTGGATATAAGAAGCCCATACAGCACCCGTCTCTCCTTTAAAGCAGTCGTTCTTGCGGTGGTTCTACTCTCCGTGGTACTTTCCTCTTTCGTACAGTCTAGGCCACGCTCTCCGTCAAAATATCGAGTCTGTGGCGCGCTGACCTCCATAGCTCTGTCGACCTGCCACAGTATCAACATCCGACCCCCACCCGGCACCAGGGACATTCAACGCCTGCGCTCCAGAGACCTGTTGAGCCATCAACAACTTATGTCCACCCAATAGCCGCACGTCTCAACGCCCCTCTCCGTCAACAGTATCCGCTAAAGCCAACGCCGCCCCACTCAGACACTTCACTCGACGTCACATCTCCGCAATATCGTTGCACAACAAGTGAAATTGTGTCATCTATAATGGACGAAAATGACTTTGAAGTCATAGTGAGAAACAGCCGTAGGACGACAAATGACTTTCAGACTGCCGCTTCATAAGATTTCAGTTCTAATGGGCTGTTAGTGTCATTTCGCCACTTAGACAAAAAATGTTTAGATTATTATACTGACATTTCTGAGGTCGCATTTGTGGTATAAGATCAAGCAGCTACTCCTTGTATCGTGTATGAGGCGGGTATGTTGGAATGAAATCAACGGTGAGGGACCAAAACGTTAAATGATCTCTGGCGAATCCTATGAAGGTGGAATGAGTCTCTCCAACTTAGTCTCCCTATCGAAACGCACGGTTTAGGATTAGGGTTAAATCAAATCTTAATATTTTGATATAGAGGAAGTGGATGCTTAGCGTGTAGGTACTAATGCCAAAGTTAGACTTGATAGTTTCAAGTTAATTGATACATTGAGTCACGAGTCGTTAGAATTGCAATTTTCTACTCATTGAGATGTAGCAAAAAATAAATTTGTTATGTGCACTCAATCTGTTGCTTGCATGCTCAAATTTCAATGGCAGGAAACGGTTGTTGAGAGTTTATGGAGTATAACTCAAATTACACTTCTTATGGTACAGGATAAAGTATCATTTACGTGCCTTCTATATTAGTGTAAGTAGTTTAAGGCCGTTATGTTTGTACATGCTTGTTTGTGAAAATTATCCGTGCATACACTTTTTGTTGGCAGTAATTCACTGTTTCTCTTTGTACATAATGCTTCTTCACTTCCATGGTACATGCATTGACCTGGACAGACAACCAGAGTAACGAAATGATAGAAGTGAAGAGGAGGACGCGAAACGAAGTGAGACGAAATGATGCACAGAGGAGAAGAAGAGTGTGCTAACTCCATTTGGTCAAGCATGATTCGATATTTATTCTCATACGATGAATAGGGTGGGTAATTAACGCATACACTGCAATAAAACAATCAAGGTTACTAAGCGAATAAGTGACCAGGTAAAATGTTTCTTGAGAAGAATGAATGAATTAATTTGTCCAGAGTCTAGAATAACCTATTTAGGATTGACATAGTACTAGCTCCTACAAAGCCCTCCCTTCGAAAATAGCAGATTACTTTTCAAATATGTCTGTTTTCTAAAATAACACTGAAGACGTATGTGGTTGAATCTGACAACAAGTAGTGAGAAAGTTTGTACTATATCTGGCAAAGTGCAGTGTCACGTGAGGAGTGAGTATATAACATGAAAGTGTCATACTT